CAACCTTCAGCGTCGCGCCCAACCTGGGGGATGAGCTTGATGAAATACGTCGTCAAGCGGACATTTAGTGTTGTAGCTGCAGGGGCAAGCTTGTTGGGTCCGGGGTGGGCGGGAGTTGTTGACCCGCTCCGGAGAAAGCAGGGGGCATAAACTGCGTCGCAGAAGCCCTCGAGGAAATGCCAGTCTGTGACATTCCAGTTAGCTATGTAGGATAGCTGTGAGTTGCCTTCACCAGCGGAGTCATGCCTAGCGATACCGGGACATGCGCCGCCACTAGCACTACTAAAGGTGCTTCAATAAGGTGGGCTAACTCTATGGTGCTAGTGCTTTATATTCTCCACTGCACTCTACCCGATGGGTCTCGCTGACGAGCCGAAGGCACAGCCGTATAGTAACAGAAAGCGCGCCGAAGGCGCGGGACCTGTTTTGTTGATCAGCGCGCGCTGAACAACAAAAACAAGATAAGCTAACCAGCTTAATGCGCGCAATAAATGACGGCCCTGAGGACACGGGCCGTTGCGAAACAGTTAGTCTAACAGTTACGCATTGGGCCTTACGCCCAACTAACCCAGCTTACTTACGCAAGCTCGCATTATGGAAATACGGTTGTAAGGGATTTGTGTTCGTTACCGAGTACGTAGGGTTTGGCTTTGATCGGTACGACTCTGTGTCGTGCAAGGCTTTGCCAGACTATTTAAGGCATTCCTACACCATTATTTGTAAGCTTAGTATTCTTCTCTTCCTTGTCTCTCAGTCAGCGTTTGATGTCGGGCTCTGCAGATCGGGCAAGTTAGGAACTAATGCTTCCTCCAGTCGCCAACTGGAGCCAGTTCCTTTCAACGGTATTTCCTACGCCTGCAGAAGAAGCGTGGCCAATAGAAGAGCTGCATTCAGTCTTGGCTCGTCATCGCTCATGAAAACCTTGGTGTGCTCACTCGGTATTTCAATCCATCCGTATCTCGGTACTTAGTCCGCGTAAACCACTGCGGCAAGCAACCAAGCCTGCGGCTACTCAGGGAACGAGCGGGAACGGAAATTTGCGAAAGCGTGAATTTGCGAAAACAGTTTCCGTCCGCATCCGCAAGCAGAGTCTGGTGTCGCGGATAGGAGGAATCTGGTTCCGCACTTCTCGCGCTTGCGGTACGGCGGAAAGTCAAATCCACGATTTTGCGCGCAATTTCCATATAAACAGCTTGCAGAAGCGCTTGTCTCTAAATCTTGTTTAGAGCGATGTCTGCAGCGAGCCCTGAGAAGGGTGCCGATCAAGCCAATCGACAATCGCTGAGGTCCTTGCAGTCAAGAATAAGTCCGGTAGACCGTGTGACGATACCTGGAAGTTCTTTGTTCGAGGCAATTACAACAAGACTAGCCACACCTACGGCGCTTCTTGCAAGACCTGTCCCAAGAAGTGGACTCGTAGTAGCCTCGGGAATTGTGAGCCATGCATACGGGACGTGAACCAACCCCATCTTGCCAATCAGCCCTTTAACGTAATATAGTCATATAAAAAGCCGTCTTTGCGTTTAAGTGAATTCTGTTTCTGTATTCCCCAGGCGTTTGACAACTCCGTTGCCAAGCAGTGCAGGCAACTTGTGCAACTTTAACATACGTGCCCAACTTTGTGCACAGCTCCACACGTTTATCTGTTCTCCTTCTAACATACGTGCGTGTTCCGGTATATGCAAATGCCTCTCCTCCAAATGCTCTTGAAATACAACATTTGGGCCGTCAGTTTACTTATTATGTATAACTTCTAGCGACGGGATCTCGAGAATGCAGCTCAACCCAGCAACGAGGGCAGAGGCAGCCATGACCGCAGCGGCGGCCTGGCCGAGCTCGACCTTCTGCGCCTTGCACACCGCGTTGCACGGACCGGCCTGGCAGCACGGCTGACGCCAATCTCGCCCGATCCGCCCGTCCGTCAGCTTTCCTGAGCCGGCTTTTGTCCACCAATAAAGAGACCCAAGCAAGTGGCTTCTGCTGCGACTACTTAGTCAAGCTACTTGTCTCAGTCGGTTTCTTTCGATACCGCCACTTTGTGTTTGTGCCTTATAACAAAAGACCATCAGGCGGCAAACCCGTAACATCTCCGGTCTTCCCCCGCCCCGTTATCATATACCCTTTGGTTGAGGCTAAGGCTAACTTCTATTACAGCGACTTCATCGATGCAATCAGCACACGGACAGACATCTGCTCTCTAGCCTGCGTCCTTGCGGGCGGCTATCCGGATGGGCACCGCGGAAACAGCGTGGGTGTCAATGTGTCCACCTAGTGCTGTGCGCACACACATGACTGAAACCCTAAACCAATTGACCTGGGACAGAACCAGCAGCATTTACTTGCTTAGCTTGGCGTTAGGACAGTCCAGTAGGAATTGTCGAGAGGCGCGTGTGTCTACGGGTGTACGGCAACGGATGTCGTCATGCATACTCCTCGCTTGCACAGAGGGATACGAGGCAAGTTCACTTGTCCCTTCTCGCTCCCAAGGGATTCATGAGGACGGATGCTGAATATGCGGACGGATCCTGAAGACGACACGCAAGATAGGTTTGCAAACGTCCGAGCGTTAATGACGGTTTTCTGGCCCTGTTTGCGTGTATCGACAAAATTAAAGCCGAGAACGTATACTTGTTAAGGCTACAATTACCTGTAAGGTAAAGTAATGCAGCGGGCGGAGCTCCAAGAAGGCAACCTGATTTGCGCGCTTCCTGAGAATTTTTCAAAGCAGCAGCAGTAAACACGCCAATCGCACACGCTTAACACTTTACAATATGATCTAGGTGTATGCGGCACGCAAGCGGCTTTGTGAAGGATTTGGGGACTGATGACCGTGCGTGCCGTCCTGGTTGATGGTCCATGTGATCCTGACCGGCGTGATTGTGCCGTTCTTTCTCTGCTGATTTACAAAGTGTGGAAGCGGAAGCTAATCTATTACGTTTGTTTCTTCACATCCTGTAAATTTTAAGGGGCTGCAGCAGGCTTCGCGCGCTATAGTCCTCAGACTTTTGGGACTTTTCTGCGGTTTGCCCTGGTTTGCCGGCAGTTTTATAACGACTTTCTTACACCCAATTAAACTTATTAACATACAAATTTCAGTTCGCCCATTTTTTCGCCTAAATATGTCCAGGTGCGTACCGGTACCAAGGTCCTCCCATACCGGTGGGACTCCGGCGGAGATAGACGCAAATGCCATCCGAAAGGCCCTTGCTTAGCTGTCCAGCAGCTAACCGCTGTAAAACGCATTCTTTATCAACCGCGCTTCCTATAAGATAGGTCAACAGCCATACTGGTGCTATGCTGTAAGCTGCGTCACGTTCTTGTGTCAGACGAGCCGCGGGTCAATCCTCGCGCCTTTCCATCGCGATGTACGGAAGCTTCAACCGTGTTCCGACTTCCGAATTTTTAAGCTATAAAAACTAAAAAAATATGCGACGGTTCTAACGCAGCGCCGTCACTGAGGAGACCGGTCGTGCCACATCCACTGATCAGGAGCAGCTTCAGAAGCAGCAAGAGCCGGAGCAGCATCAGCAGGTGCCCGAGCAACGCCAGCGGGAACTCTCGCCGGCGGGAGAGGCCGAGAGTGGAGGCACCACTGGCGCAGCTGGCGCCCCGGTCAACGGTCTGGATGCCATTGTTGCTGACCACAACGTCATTAGGTAATGGAAACAACGCAGAGTGAACGACACACACACATACACACACACACGCGCGCACACACACATACACACACACGCGCGCGCGCACACACACACACACACACACGCATACACAGAAGAAGGAGAAGGAGGAGCAACACGGTTAAGCTGGCAACGAGTGATTGATGGAACGGGATTGAATATGGATGATTGAAATGGATGAACGGATGGATAAAAACATGGATAAAAACATCTACAGGCTTTTGGGGTGTATGTGATACTGTGAGTACTGTCGCCACCGTAACCGCCCCTCGAGGTTCCAGACAGGAGTCCTCCCCAGCGCCCCTGGGCCCTGGCCCAACTAGGGCCGTGCCGGGTGTAGTGACGTCATTGACGTACATTGGCCCTTAGACGCACGGCGGCCCCAAATTGGTCAGCGCCTGCCTAGGGTTTGGCGTCCCTGTCCTGGCCGAGTCTGCTGGCCGGTGTCACGTGGCAGTTTGGACTTCGTTGGCGTGCAACGTATCAATTGCAAGAAAAAGCAGTTTTGTGCTGTAGTACGGTACGGTACGGTACGGTACGGTACGGTATTCCCTTTGCTGTGCAACCGACGATTCGTTTATTGCGGCCTTGTGGGCTTGGTGCAATCTTTTCCTGGCCTTTCACTTGTGTGTAGATCCATTTCTTTATGTCGCAGGGAATTGTTCAATCGCTACGATACGGCGGCGACGGCACAGGTATGTCCGTTAAGGTGGTTGGGGACAGTCCGGCGGTTGCAACGGTTTTGGCAGTTGGCTCAGGCTAGGTGTTGCAGTATTGCGATTAGTTGGCTCCGCATTCCCAACCTTTCCCCTATAATACCCGATCCGGATTCCAATCCCCATCCACGCGGTTGCCGTACACCGTACACCTTAAGCCGTCCCACACCGTACACCACATGCCGTCGCCCACCAATCCGGGTGTCTACACAAGGCATCGTGTTTTTTTGCCGTGTACGACGACACCGTACGTAGGCCAAGGTGACAGCTGCCCGAAATCTGGTCCGCCACGTCAGCCGCCACGCCAGCGCCGAGGAGCGCACCTTGTACCCCCTTTTAAGGGAGAAGCACCCGCAAGCCAACCTGGCCAAGATGCTGTACGACAGGATGGTGAGCCATGTTGTACAGTACGGAGGATGGAAACGAATATTCAAGAGGAGGGCCAGCGGGCCAGTTTGCCATTAACAGTGAAGAAGGAGAGGCTTGCTTGTACTGGAGAGTTGGTTTGGTCGGATCGGAATCGGAATCGGAAATAAGGAAAATGCTAAAATTGCGGTTTCTAACTTTATGGCTGATCGGAATTGACATCAGGAGGATGGTAATCCAACCTTCCATGACCAACGTGCAAAGCTTCGTGGGGCCCCGGGTTCCCTCCGCCTCCTCCCTGCCCTGGCAGCAGCTTCACTCGTTTGTGGTTCGTCTTTCCCCCTCCTCCCCTTCCCGTCCTCAAACACCCCCACACACACACACCAAGGGCCGTGCCAAGGTTAACGTTTCGCGCTTCATTGTGACTATCAGTTGCAAATGCTAGGCATGCATGCCAAAAGCAACAATATTTCACTCGATGATGTCAACATTATTTCACTCGAAAACCCACACACTCACATGCACATGCACATGCACATGCACGGACCCCATTACAGAGGTGGCGGAAGTCACACAACGACCCGAACCCCCTCTTCCCGGCCTGTGGGTCATGACCCCGTCCCCCCCTTCCGCTATCCCGCAACGGTCCCCGTCCCTTGCCATGCACTTCCCAACTCCCCCCACCTCCAACGACACGGCCGACGCTTCCTTCAACACCGTTGGTTCTGTACGGTTCCGTACAACTGAAAAACCAGATCTTGGACGACCAGGTATGGTAGAACGGTGTGCCATGGGTCTACCTAAACGACTTTGTTCCGTTGGATCCGTTGGATCCGAAAATGATTGTGACTGGATTTTGTTTCCGTGGGGATCCACAAGGGTCACCAGATCCACTGCAATGAAAGGATTCTCAGCACCCTTAGCCTTCTGATGATGTGCCGGGCTGTGGGGAATCTACAGATCCCTAATGTACGGGGCCTCGTACATGCCGAGGGAATAAAGCTGCTGCCCGTACGCGCCGCTATACGGGCATTCATGCTTACATGCATACGTGCACGCATAAATGTAAAAGTGCCGTTGGATGCTGGTGGTGGGTGCGGGGAACCTGAGCGTTCCACGGAGAGGTTGACTAGGGTGATTGGATGAGGGTGCCCCGAAATACCGGGGAAGGCAGGGTTTCGCAGGGTAGCTGCCACGGGTGAAGATATGCCCCCCTGTCCCCACACATCATAAATGCGTGTTCATGTACAGGTAGAAGGCAGGCCGACTGACACCCCCGCTGACCAGCACCTTACATGCGCACCTATACACACACGTACACATACGCGCATATGAACATACATACAGATCAACAAGGAGGTGCTTGAGTTCTTGGAATCGCACGTGCCTGCCGGCGACGCGGAGTGGGTGTTGTACGACGCCACGTTGGCAAAGTTCCGCATGATTGAGGACGAGCATATGGCCAAAGAGGAAGCTGAGGTTCGCGAACTGCCCGAGGGGGCTTAATGCTGTGTGTGTATGTGTAGATGTATGTATGTGTGTCGTTAGGGCCGACATGCTGAAAGGGCTTCTTTGCTCCCGGGCATCGAGTTTGGTAATCCGCTGTATCAACAACAACAACAACAATAAAAGGGGGTGTTGTTGTCACATGTGTGTGGTGACGCTACAAGACTCTAGAAGACGCGACGTGTCCAATGAAAAAACATACCTCAACCGGGTCGGTCGGACCTTCCCTCTTGTAACCTTGGGGGTTCCCATGTCTCCTTTGAATGTGCGCTCGCTTCGTGTCGCTGAAGCTCCATTTTGATCTCCACCTCACCATACTTCCTCAATCAACCCCTGACCCCCGCCTTCTAACTCCCTCCATCGGGCACTATTCCTCCCCAAGCCCCAACCCATGTTACTCTCCGCACCACCCTACATTCCACGACAGCTGGTGACCACACGCGCGTGTTGATTCTCGCTCCCCATCAGGTCATCGAGCCTCTCCGCCAGGTTCTGGATGCTTCTGCGGTGGCCAAGTTGGGTCGGCGCTGGTCCGCCGCCTTCGCCAATGCCCCCACTCACCCGCACCCGGGCGGTACCTCGGGCGCCGCCCGGGCCCGGCTGGTGCACCCCGTGGTGGGCCTTATCGACCGGATGCGCGACGCTCTGGCCACTTGAGAAGTTGGATGGCAAGGAGGGGGCCTTATGACAAAAGCGCGTGATGATAGGTCGGTGGTTGCACTAGGTGACGATACCTAGGTCGTTGGTGGTTGGCAGTTGGGAAGTTGACGGTATACATATGCCTATAGTATATGTATACATAAATAATGGTTGGTAGTTGGTGGTTGGCAGTCAGGTAGTATATGGTTTAGGATAGATCTATGGGGCGGCAACTGGAGAAAGGGAGAGAGAGAGAGAGAGAGAGAGAGGAGGGGGGGATGCGGTGGGTCCATTTCTCTTCGCCAGCTGCTGCATACCGCAAGCAGATCTCACGGCACGCATTCAAGACGTTACTTCGGGTTTTCGGTTTTTCTACAGTTGTGCATCAAGGCATTCGACCAACGCGTTGCAATATTGCCACCGTGCCACCGTGGTTGGGTGGTTGGGATAGCCCGAAGGAGCCAGGGGGATTGTTCCAGAAGTGTGTTCGCGAAGCCATCTAGAGAAGTGGAGGCAGTTGAAGAAATTGTGGATAACCATCGCGATGTGGAATGCAAAACTGTCCGATGGCCGTTAACTGTCCGTTGACGGTTGACAGTTGGTGCCTGCTAGGGCTTTGGAGTCCAAAGGGCCAGTCCCCATGAACGCCGATAAACAATAATTCCAGGGCCTTTGCTGGGGAAATGCAGCTACAGCTTCCCAATAACCACCCACACCCATTAAGCAAAACTGTATTAAAAATGTAGTATGCGAGGTACAGCATTTTTTACTATATGGCGTAGAGCGCTGTATATTTGCATGGAAGGCTCCCGCGATACGTTAACCTAATCCCGCCTTTCGGTTGCTGCGTTCTGCCTTACCTTCTCGCATGATGGTGGACGAGGATGGGCGCAGCTGCATAATGAATCTTGATTTTTGAGTGACAGCAATCTGGATCTGTTTTGGATCCGGAAAGACCACCGCGGCATCGTGGTGTTAGCCCATCAGCAACGCAAGCGAAGGAGAGCGAAGGTCAACCAAACACACATCCGAAGACACTGTATAGGCTCCGTTGGGCGCAAAAACGTCTGTACTCCTTACCAGATTGTGCATTACCTTGGGACGTCGGAGGCCAAAGCTATAGCTACCTTGAAAGCCATGCAAGGTACGCACGAAGAACAAGATACCTACAAGACCCTTATCTGCCCCGCACGACCTAGCATGCAGCCGGAATAAGAAAACGTATCCTCTGGCAACCAGCATCGTGAGTTCGTAACCCTGTCCGGAATTTTGGACCTACGGGCCGCTCGTAGGATCAAGGTACGAGCAACGCCGGATAAGGACAGCCCGTATGAGAGGTTGTATCTACGGATGGATCGCCAAAGAGGAGAGGCAGTCTTGGCAAATCGTGTAGTCATTAGCCGTGGTTGTGCCAAGTTGATTTATGGTTATTCCGGAGTTGAGTCGATTTTGATTCAGATTTAAAATACGCACGATGAGATAACTCCTGTACCCCAGAGTAACGGCATTATAATCGCTGGAACGACGGGCCTCGAAGTTTGCAGCTGTGCTTACAATGGACTGCTCTGATAATAAATCAAAGCGCACGCTTTAGTTTTACGTTTACGTTTGATTACAAGCTTCTTGAGCTTGTACGGCCCAGACGAGCCAAGAGGCTCATGAGCCGCCGAGCTGGAAACAATAACTGAAAAGAATAAAAAAGGCAACAAATCAAAACACTGTACTGTGATCCTCATTAGTCGTCTATGTACTGCAACCTACGTCTCCGTATGCAATCCAAGACATGTGCCAATCCGCGTTGATTCTCGACACCCATCACCGCATTCATAACATCTCCTGGAGCAATGCCTAGGGTCCAGAGCTTAGCACGGATATCCGCATATTCCGGACACTCTAGTAGCACGTGCCGTTCATCCTCCACTGCCTGACGATTATTGCAGACCCGACACCACCTTGCGGCCCGTTCCCTACCATGGGGTCGATTGACAGCCAAAGGCCAAACACACATCCTAAAACGCATCAGAGTGACGTGATGTTTCGGTAAGATGTAGCCTTTGCAGTGCTTAGGTTGCCCCATCCACTGCAAATAACGACACATCTTCACCCCTGGTTGCTTGTCGTCAGAGACAAACATATGTGGGTCAATCGCCAGCCTTTCACTACCCCAGTCGTCATCAAATCGATCTCGGAGTTCCTGCAATAGCTGGTCAATATCTAGGACATGTGACGCAGCAATATCTACCCTAGCCTCAATCCCTTCATCCGCACCACCCTCAAACCCCATGTCGTACCCTAAAATTTCTAGTATCCTGACAACCTTAGATCCCCAGCCATCGTGACATAAGGAGGAAGCAAAGGCCAAACGAAGCTCTTCCCGAAAACAATGATGATACACCGAGCCTTTAGCTTCTACCAGTCGGTTCCAAAAACGGAAGATTAGGTTCGCCCAGTGTACTTGTAACGGGTACTGCCCCAGTTCCTTAAACAGTAGCCGATTGGGAGGCACCCCCGCCCCAGCCAACTGCTTCAGGAAGGATTTCTGCAGACCAACCATCTTATCCTCCAGCGCATAATCAAAATAACATGACCGGTGTTCTTGACCTCTAGGGAAGCCTCGTTCCAGGACCTGTAGGACGCTCATCGGGCCCCAGACCTGTACCCCGTAAGACAGGATGGATCGTACTTGTGCGTCGAAGGCTTTGACAGCAACAGCTGGCACAAACAGGCCCTGTCGCCTAAGCTTGGTGACTAATGCGAAGAGCGCCCGTTGTCCAGAGGCATGAAGTTCATCACGACAGGACTCAAAAGGGGTGCCCGGGCCATAATGAAGGCCCAAGTACCGTGTACGACCCTTCCACGGTAAGCTTTTACTCACATGCGCACCTCCGTCCGTGACCGTCATGGGAACAAGCCCGTACTCGCCTAACTTGTACATCTCTTTGCAGGCATGCATGTCATGGTGAAAAAACAGGACCTCACATTTTCCTGTATTAACTTTCATACCAAACGCTTCACACCACTCCCTCAACGCACGCAGCAGTGCCATAAGCCGTCTGTGCGAGATAGCAAAAAGGTTTAGGTCATCAGCGTAGAACATAAGTGGGATTCGCATACCATCGCTTTCGGGACAATCATGCGCGGCCATAGCATCAGGTGCAAGACGGTCCTTGGCTTCCACGTAGTCTGCAAAACCTTCCCCGAAAATGCCGTACAATGTGGGGCTCAACGGACATCCCTGCTTGACCCCTTGAAACGAGAAAAAGGAGTCTCCCAGCACCCCGTTGACATTGACCTTGAGTTCTACCCTCCGGTAACAAGCCTTCAGAGCATCCAGCGTGGCACCCGTCACCCCTCTCTCTTCCAACCGCATCCATAGAAGATCCCTAGGGACCTTGTCAAAGGCTTTTTCAAAATCCACCTGACACACGAAAAGGGGTTTCCCAGTATTCCTCTTAGTGTTGTCAATTAAATGTCGGAGCACAAACAGGTTATGGCACGTGCCTCTCTTGCTACGAAACCCTCCTTGATAAGGGGAACGAGCTCCCGACGATTCACCCCATGCACTGAGTCGGCGCTCCAACAGAAACGCATACAGTTTTGAAAGCGCTCCGCCAACTGCCAGCCCTCTGTAGTTGCCCAGGTCATCCACGTCGCCCTTCTTGTGGATGGGTGTGAGTGATGATACCTCGAATTGCTTGGGATAATCACCCGTCGTGCGGATATGCTCCATGAGCTTCAGCAGGTACGGTGCAAGCACAAATTCCGTCTTGTTGCCAACCTCGCGTTGTGCGTATTTCAGAGCCTCAGCCGGCAGCCCATCCACACCTCCTGACTTGTTGTTGCGCAGTGCCTTCATGGCCACGATGACCTCGTCCAGGGTGAAGGGGTTGTTCATTGCAAGAGCCGATGATACCCTGGCGTCCCTTTTTGTGTTACCCCGCTCCCAGCCGCGCCCGCCCCCATACACCGCCTCGTTGATAAAACTGAGGATGATATCCGCTTTGACGTCGCTGGCAGCAGCCTTGTCCCCATTGAAGAGCGTGTCGAAGTGCCGCCTCCAACTAGCAATATCGTTGATGGGGCAAGCGGTCTTGGGCTTTCCACTGATCCGCTTCCAGAGCGCGCGTTGATCTCCACAGCACTCTTTCAAAAACGCCTCATATCGTCTGACCTTATGCGCTTCTGTAGCTTCACGTCGCAGTCGCTGGTATCGCGTCCGTAAGCTACTAAACATACTTCGCGCGTCGGGATCCTCCATCAATGCATTTGCTCTCATAAAAGCCTTGTGCGTGAGCATAGCTGAGCGAGCCGCGACACACTCTTCTGTCCACCAAGGGGCGTCTGAAACTCTCCTCCCCACACTACCTCCCTGTTCCATCGAACGACCAGCTTTTCTAACGGCTCTGAACAAGACGTCCAAGATGGCCTCAACCGCTTCAGTACTGGTGGTCCCTTCCATCCCCAAACGTGCCGTGGCCTCTGCAATCATTCTCACCACCCCTGCGTCATCTGTTTCAAAGAGCTGGGCGTAATGCGCTATCTTTCCCATGTCAAATCGGAGTCCCCTCGTCCGTCTAACATCTGAGTGCCTACCAACATCAATTTCCAATGCTACCGGGCAGTGATCGCTTAGAAGCTTACCCGCTCCTGGCCCGAAATCAGCTACTGGGATGCCTAGGACCTGAAGGCTCTTGCAGTGCGTGAACAGTCCGATCGTAGCGAAGTACACATCAATCATGCTTCCCATCTCTCGCGCCCTGTGGTGGAAAGTGATCGCACCTTCCCTGTCGCCCTCAACCCGTCCATTGAGAACAATCATTTCCATTTCACGGCACATGTTTGTGAACGCCTTACCAAAAAGGTTCGTGCGGGGATCCTGACTCCGCCTGTTTGGTACGCCTCGGAACAATTCCGAATTACTGACTTGGTAACCAGTCACCTCTTCCAGATCGTCATCTTCCTGGATGTCTGGCGTTTCCTGTTCTCGTCCCACCCTCGCGTTCATGTCTCCCATGAGTAGCACTTCATCCCCTGGCCTGGCATATCGCTTAATCAATGTCTGAATGCGACACGTCACCCTCTTGGCTACCGATGAAGGCGCCATTCGGTGTCCCATCACCGTGTTGTACACCGTCGATCCCTCAGGTGCCGCGTAAGTGGCCCCCACCAGTAACCCATTCCCTCGCATGTTCAGGGCATTGCCTTTGATCCGTACCCAGATACTATCCATACCTCGTGGTGCTGTGGATGTGCCAACCAGCTGGGCCGCCTTGGCATATCTTTCGCTAACCCACACACAGACGCCCCCACGATTGCCATCCCCCCCAGCAGAGAAAACCCGAGTTCCAAGAGAAACAACTCCCTTAATGCAACCTTCTCCCACTTTATGCGTTTCTGTAATGACTACTACATCATACCCATCAGTCATCATCCGAAACTCATCACAATCAAGTTTCCAGTCAGTCAACCCTCCCACGTTCCACTGAAGAAACCTCAACTTACGAGTCTCTTGGCTCGCGGCCCCCTAGGGGCGGTCGCCGCGCGGTGCCATGCCAGCAGAACCACCAGCTCCGCTGGGTTGCGCGTCCACCCAGGGTCCCTCGAAGGGGACCCTGCGTTGTCCGTCTATGACCGTGATGTCCACACCACGTTCCCACGTTCCCACGTTCCCACCTCGGCTGCACCTTCTTGACGTCACGCAGGTGGATGAACGTTGCCATGCGTTGCTGGCGCAGCTGTTTGCCCGTCTTTGTGAGCGCGTCCATGAGGATGATGCCGTGCTGTTCACGCGCGATCTTTCCTAGGGTGACGAACGACTTCCGCACTTGCGGATTCAGCAGAATGTCGACTAGGACGGTTGGCTCATCGGTACCTGCCCGGTTACGCTGCGCATCCGAGGCTGCACCGGCCGTTGCCGCGGGGCGTACACCCCCCGCAGCAGTACTGCCATTCGCCCCAGGCTTCGCTGTCCACGGGACGATATCGAGAGCGTAACGTGCCCCATTTCGCAGCCGCCGAACCATGTCGTGCAGGACGTCGCTCAGTCGGTCCTCATCCACCAGCTTCTTGGGAACCCTCGCCAAAACCTTGTCTTCGTGGAACGCTGCGCTGTCGTTGCCAGCCTCATGTCGCCCGGAGAATCCCGCTGCGGCGCTGCTGCTGATCCGCTCCTCCATCACCTTGAGCCTGTTGTCAAGCCCAGACACGCTGGTTTCCAGGCCAGCGACCCTGGAGTTCAGCCCATCCATGAGGCTGATTTTCTGGTAGATGTATTTTATCATGGCTGTTTGGTCCATTTCCTTGTCGGCCATGGTATCATCCTTTGTCGGTGAGGGCATGGTGGTTCTCTGCCCGTCGCTGCCCTCGCTACTGTCCTCCTGTAACGTGACAAGTGACCTGATAGGAGTGTTCTCGTTTTGTTTGGCTAGCTTATGTACCCGATCTGCGAGTTCCTTCACCGATTTTGGCGGGGTCGGCTGATGCCTCCCCTTCTTCTTGGCCATACGCCCGCGAAGAATTTCAAGTGAATTGGTGCCTGGTTTTTCATTCTTTGGTCCAAGTTTCTTTCGGTTGTTTCGGTTGTGAACTGCGCGACGGCAGTAACTTATGGGCCGTTGGCTGACATTACCGGAACTGCATGTTGTTGCGGCATTCAAAGGTGCTTTTGCCGAGGCAGTCCCATTTTCGGTTATAGTTTAGCTTTTATGTTATTTATGTGATGCACATGGCGTAAGATGCGCCCTAGCTCAGCAAAATTTGGGTAGTTTAGAGTGGTTAGTTAACGGTTAGATCTAAGCGCGGAGCCGCGTACGCGGAGTCCAGCCGACTTTGGAAAAGCAGGCGGCCTTATGCTCCCGAGAGCGCGTTCTGAAGGAGCATTTCTGTTTATTGCACTTCGGTGGTGCTTCGCAATGCATTTTCTTCGGCCGGCGATCGAAAAGCTATCGAAAAAATCTATCACCGTACAGGAATTGCATTTTAGCCGCTATAAAGTAGTCTCGAATTTTTTGATATGGAATATTTTGGTTAAGTGAACGTGCGAGGCTCCTCGATTCCTTATGAGGGTCGATCCGCCAGGGGTCAAACCCAAAGACCAACTGACCCCATGCTATCTCGGTGTGCACCTTGGGTTTTTATACATGCATCAAGTGAGGCCTCACCATGTTTTACCTTTCGTGGGTGTTCGTCGCTGGGCGGACTTTTCGATAGAATCCGTATCGCATGTCCTGCAACCGGAACGAAAACAATTATAAAGGTTATTTTGGTTTAATAGGGTCTTTTGATATCTATTCGTAGCCGTATTTAGGCCGACCCTGGCCTTATAGCAGGGCGACCTTTCCGTAAATAAGGAATTGGAGAAGGCGGAAGCCTGAAGTCAGCCACTAGCAGCAGGCAACAACGCGCAACAACAAGCAGCTGGCATCCTTGGTTATACGAATCTTTGAACGACATAGCAAAGAAGCTGGTGGAGTGAATAGGCAAACGGAGAATCGAGGATGTCTGGTGAGGAACCCGGTGTCCTGGAGCAGGCTGATGTTGACGCCGTCGTCCAGATGCCTCCAGAGGACCCCGGGGTCCTAAAAGATACTCCAGCGGGGCAGGAGGCACGCGCGGGAAACCTGCCACCTGCAGGCAATCGCCTTCAGTCGCAGGCAAGGCAACCCTTGTCAACACGAACAAGGAAGAAAATATGGTCTCTTTTTCAACTTTGCCTGCCTATGGTATGTTGCATCCGGCGACCGGGGCTCCTCATCCCCCTTTCCCGCGTCAATGACCGTCGCGACTGCACGCATCCTTTATATACTACACCTTAGCTCTGTGTTCTGTCTGCTCTTTAATGACTCCCTCCGGACTGATCTTCCTATTTGCAGAATGCCAAGCCGCTTGTGCCCACGGGGCGCAAAGTTTCTTCCGATGGTAGAGGCAGTCGACGCAACAGCAATGCCAGCGTGAAAAACACCCCTTCTACAGGGCCTGCTGACTCTACGCACCTTCCCAACATTGGCTCCGGGCGCACCACGCCCTCGGGCCCCTCGGCCACTAGGCAGCCAAGGCCATCGCTTTCGAAGACCAGTGGCAATCCAAAGCCAGTCACCGACAGCCCCGCCAACGCAGAATCAACAGCCACCGCAGCTACCCCTGCTAAGGCCTACAGCTTCGGTCGAACCTTTGAACGCAAACTTTCCCAGGGTGCGAACAGCCGCACCAGCAAAGACGGGTTTCCAAGCGCCCAGGGCTCTGAAAGCGGCCGGAAGTCTCTGGGCAACGAGAGTGTGTCAAACAGGGGCCGCGCCATCGGCGAGAACGCGCCATCCCAACGCGACCTCAGCCCCGTCCACGATGCACGCGATGCAGGTCCGAAAACCTCCCCAGTGCAGGTGCCCAGAGTTGCCCAGGTGTCGGCTGCAGCGGCGGCCCGGCGGGACGCGAAGCTTACCAGCCCCAGCGAGGAGGAGCGTCGGAGGCGGGTAGAGTGGATCCGGGAGAAACGGCGGAAGGAGGAGGCCAAGGCCCGGGAGGAAGCGGAAAAGCGACATGTGCGTTGGATCGGGACTTGGGAGGGACGTTGCTGGGGACATAGATTTAAAACCTGGTGTGGCGCGAGGGCATTATATCCCTCAGCGGGGTGGAGGGGAGCCTTTCTTTTTCGCGTAGTCAGCTGTACTTTGTGATTTGGTTGGGAACTTGATCAATTGAGTCGGCGCTTAAAAGGTCTGCTACTCGAACCCTAAATATCCGACCCAATATAAGCTTGATACTTATCTGCTGTGACGTCGCCCCATCGTTTTACATACCTTACTCGCGTCAACTTGCGCACGTCACTACCACCTAATATTGAACCTACTCATAGGCCGTACCGGCGGTTCACTAATCGCGTTATCTTTGTCCTAATTTCAGGCCGAGGAGCTCAAGCGGCGTGAGGATGAGCAGGCTCGCCTGGAGGCGCGGCGCGCGGCCATCCGGGAGCGCATCCAGAAGCAGCATGACATCGCAGCCAAGTTGGCGAAGGATCGGGCCAAGGCGAACGAGGCGGCGCGCGGCGCCATCAACCGCTTCCTCACTGCCAAACCCCTGCACCAGAAGCTGAAGGTACGTCGGCTGAGGTGCAGGACGGAACTCCGTGCTTTACAAGGAGACGAGAGTACTGGTGATGTGCAGCGCATCTGCGGCTTTCCAGTTGTCTCTCTCGGTCGTCTCTTCAATCTTCCCCTTGTGGGGCTGCGCAGACGCCTTCCTGTGCGACTATCCTGCGTAACAAACAGCGTTCCAGGCTTGGGCGTGGACCGTTTGTATTGTCAGCCTGTTGTTGGGCTGGTGAGAACGAGTAGTGTGGGAAACTCCAGAGCGTTGCGAGTCAGTTTGGTCAGTTCAGCGGGGCGATACAGGCAGTTGCAACCTGCCACAGCGGTTGCAGCCCCCTGACACGTGGGTCAGGTCTCTGCGCATGTCATTGCGATGTTCTTTATGGCGCCTGTGCATCATGAGTGAATGCCGACATGGTTATATCTGACACTACCGGCTCTTACAGTGTTGGCAGTATCATACATTGCTATATGATGTGTGGAACAGGGGGGTATATCTTCGCCCGTGGCAGTTACCCTGCGAAACCTTGCCTTTCCCGGTATTCGGGGGCACCCTCATCCAGTCACCCTAGTCAACTTCTCAGTGGATCGCTCAGGTTCTGCATGCGGTGGTGGGTGCGCACCCACCACCGGCATCTAACTGAATCTGCCGGATCGACAACGGCCCAACTCCATTCCTGGTTGGCTCGCAAGCCAACCTTATCCCAGGTCACCACCGTCCATCAACTAGGGGCGCAATACCTTCCACCACCGGAAGGATTTTCGGCCCTGACAGGTCTCGATCCCGGGATCTCCCGGGGGCAATAGTCGTGCATTACAAGCACTGCTGTTGCTACATTGCTGTTGCTGTGCCAGAATGCTGTTGCTGTATTCGATTTGGCTTCACGCAATCTGAGTATTTGCGTGAGGAACGGGCGGTTTGCAGCCTCGCACCCTAAATGCGCCTCACCGTGGGCCCTTCTTTGACATTTTTATTGGGTTGCTGGCGCACCTTGAGTGCCATGCATCGCGGCCTCGTTCGTTATGGCGCCCGAGTAAGAGACCGCTGCCGTGATTGCGTTGCTCCTTCCAAAGGAGGACTATGACAAGCAGCAGGCGGAAGTCGAGGCCGAGAAGAAGCGCCAGTACGACGAGGAGGCGCGGACCAAGCAAGTGCGGCCACATCAGATCATCAAGGGCGAGGCGCAGGTATGGATGGGTGCAAGAGGGGCGCGTGCAGACAGCTGCGTGGTAGTGGGGGCTAAGGGCTGGGAAAGTGTGACGTAGCGGTGCCGGGTAAGGCTTTACTTTGAGGATGCGTGCCTGGCACGTATCCCAGGGGCAAAACAGCATTCACACTAGCCGTGTGTCTGCAGGACTAAGGGGTTCAGTGTACACATTGTGGAATGACGAAATGACAGTCATTAGAAGCCGTTATTGCCGTTCAGACTACAATGCTGTTCCCTAGAAAACATAAATCCGCTCACATGTTTTACCCCTCAAGACACAGCCCAAATGCATGCGCCGTACTTCTACCTTGTACGGCCTCTGGGCCGTCTCTCCTTAGCACGCGCGGAAGGTCGTGGCAACCCAGTCACGGCATAAAATTCCAGTAGCTTTTCCGAACTTTCAAGCGGATCTGCGGCTTATCCATTATCTCCCCCTACATTATTTGTCTGTTTTTGCAGGTGAAGCCCAGCAGCAAACCAGCTGCTGCCGCCTCCAGTCCCGTGGCCGCGCAGCGCAGTGCCCCGGTTCGCAGCCCGGTCCAAAGCCGCGGCAGTGCCGGAGCTGGCGCCGCCGCAGGTACCAGTGCCAACCGCGGCGCATCTGCCCGGGGCGCTATCGCCGCACGTCTCGCTGCTTCCCACACGTCTGATGGGGAGGCTTCTGGTGATTCGTCGCCCAAAATTTCTGCCCGCGGCGGCAGCGTTTCTGCCCGCATCAGCGGCGTGGCGCCACGCAGTGGCAATGTAGCTTCCCGCACCGGTGCTGGCGCCACTGGCTCTCCAGCTCCTGGCGCGGCTCAACCCGGGCAACCTGAATCCAAGCAGTCTGCCCCAACGCCGAAGATTCGCGTGCAAGGCCCCACGCTCACCAGTACCACCGCAAAGGGCAGCAAGCGCGCTGCCAACGGACTGGGCCCCTTGGCGAAGAAAGGCGAAACGGTGGACCGCGCTTCTTCGCCCTTCGTCCTGAATGACGCGGGCGTACCCGTCAACGCACCTTCGCTGACGCAGGTGGCCAGCAGCGCCGAGGAGGTGGGGCAGTGGAGTGTTAAGCCCTCAGACTCCGCTACGGAGTCGGCGGGCGGGATGCTGGTGGCAGCAGCCGTCGGAGGCGCGGCCGTGGCGATGGTGGGGGCTGGCGTTGCCACGGTGACGGCGGAGGGTGGCCTGGACAGCGGCAGCCACGTCAGTGGGGATGCCGCAGATGACGACGCGCCACAGATGCAGTCTCCGCTCGGCCTCGCGTCCAACGGCGCGGAGCCCACTGACGAGGCTGATGCGGCGGTGGAGCCCGAACAGGCACAAGGAGCTTGGGGCAGCGATGCGGCTGAAACGGATGCCGAGTCGCCGAGTAAGGTGGTGGCGGGTGATGCTGTGGCCCTTTCACGCGACCTCGCGTCCATGGTCGAAGCGCAATTACAGCAGGAAGCGGATCAGCTGCAACAGGCGGAGGAGCAAGAAGAGAACGGGCTACAGCAGGAAGTGAGACAGGAAGACAACGAGGAGGATACGGGAGCTGCCGAAGAAACCGAGCCTGAGGCAGTGCTGGCCACGGCAGCCGAGGAGGCGGCACTGACTTCAGCGGCAGAGGAGCAGGAGCCCAAGTCTGAGGTCGAGGCGGATGTCTCTGCCCAAGTTACGGCAAAGACGGAAGAGGCAGAGGAGGAGGAGGAGGAGGCCGGGCAGCTGCCCGATAAAGCCGATGTAGATCTTCTGGGCCCTGATGTTGATGATGCCCTCGCTGAGGCCACCGTTGCCACGGAGGGGGAGGCATCACCGGAGGTTGCTGACCTGGGAGCAGCGCGTGAGGAGACAGAGGCAGCGGTAGGTCAGGAGGATAAGGAGGGCCTGAAGGACGAGGAAGAGGCCGGCGAGCAAGGCGAGGAGGCGGCGGCCGAGCATGAGGCAGCTGGCAAGCAGGATGAGGCCCCCGAGCAGGAGGAAACGGCGGCCGAGCAGGAGGAAACGGCGGGCAAACAAGAGGAAGCCGCAGCCGAGCAGGAAGAGACGGCCGAGCAGGAGGAGACGGGGGCCGAGCAGGAAGAGACGGCCGAGCAGGAGGAGACGGGGGCCGAGCAAGCGGAGATGGCGGCCGAGCAAGAGGAGACGGCGGCCGAGCAAGCGGAGATGGCGGCCGAGCAAGAGGAGACGGCGGCCGAGCAAGAGGAGACGGCGGCCGAGCAAGAGGAGACGGCGGCCGAGCAAGAGGAGACGGCGGCCGAGCAAGAGGAGATGGCGGCCGAGCAAGAGGAAACCCCCGAGCAAGGGGAGGCGGCGGATGAGCAGGAGGAGACGGCGGCCGAGGTTTCGGCTGCGGATTACGAGGGCGTGGACAGGGAGTTTGCTTCCGGCGGAGCTGCGGAGGATGACGTGGCGAAAGCCGAAGAGGAGCCGAGTGACATTGCTGAGCAGGGTGTGGAGGCGGCCGCTGCTGACGAGGAGGAAGAGGCCGCTCAAGCGGCGGCGGTGGCCGAGGCCAAAGAGGCTGACGGGGCGGACGACAGCGAACGGGAGGGACCGAGTGAGGATGCCAAGAGCGATGCCGATGGCGAGGGCAGCATTAAGGCTGAGGAGGACGTGGGCGGCGACAGTGGCCAGAGCCCGTTAAGAGTACAGGAGTCGAGTGGTAAGGAGGTCCTAGACGAGAAGAAGTCGGGCATGGAAGAGGAGGGGATGGACGAGGCATAAAGTAGGGCCTGATCTCGGCGCAGATGTCGTGCAGGAGTGGGGCTGCCTGCGGGATACTGCGGGAACCTCTTGAAGGAAACTGGGTGTGTTGCGCCGTGGGAGAAGGAGGAGGAGGGGGAGGAGGAGGAGGAGTGCTAGCTGAGTTGCGGGGAAGCGCGGGTAGAAGGCAGCCACGATGTGTAGTGAATGGTTTGGGTCTTGGAGGTTTCAAATTCCTTTTGCCCTGCATTGCATTGCACTGCGAACTGGATGGCGCATGAGCAGCTGTCTAAATTTGTGCTGTGTGCGTGGACTCCCGGGCTATCCTATCCTTCCTCTTGCACTACCCTGCTTGCACTACGCCTTGAATCCCGTACATACACAAAAAAACCAAGGAGGTTCCTATCATTAGGAACGCCGGCATCGTGTGGCACATTCATTCTCTCTCGCCAGCGCGCGTTTCGGATGTTGACGTACAGTTTGAGTTTGAAGAACGATCGTGGTACCCAACTGGTTTACACGACTTGACGAAATCCTGCTGCAATGTTTACATCTATGATTGGCAAATTCCCGCTGCCATTTCTGCATCCATGATATCGGCAGTATGTACTGTGGGGCGCTTCTTGCTTGGCGCTTGGCGCCCTATCGGCCATGATTTGACGGCGACTTTCCAACGTGTGCTGCTGTGCGTGCGTGGTTCAAAGCGTATCATGGCCCTGTTTTCACGCGCTGTGCTTCCCTGGGAAGTTCTGGATGCTGCATGATGCTACATGCTACATGCGCATATGTATGCGCATATGTGATGTGGGCCGCATGAAGGATGGAATCGTACGAGACATTGTTCGCTGTTCATCTTTGCGCCGGGGAGCTGGTCTTGGTTATTGCTCTTTTTCTTTTATGAGGTTCATTCTCACTAAGCGACGCATGAAAAGCCAGCATGCACCGTATTTCTTCTTTTTTTGTTTTGGGCGTTTCCGTCGGGCCGGAGCCACGCATTTGGGCACAGCATCAGGCATGTCTTGTCTGTCAGGCACAGCTGCAGGCATGTTTTCCTACTTTCTTAGCTATCCGGATCGTGAACATTTCTGTACGTACGCTAGTGCGCGGAAACGATGCACAAGATTTTCTGATGAATGGAGTTACAGTGAACCTAGGAAGGTTCTGATGGGCTTTGCGACCTCATCAGCAGTCAAGGTTTCTTTACTTTTAGCTTGTTCGTGTATGAATGGTGTTTGGCATGTTGATTTCCTGTAGAATTTACCTGAATAAGATGAGGGCAAGGAGTGTTTGTGCGTTTTCTTTAAATTTGACTGACCCAAGGGTCACACGATTATTTACCAATAAGCGCGCGTCCCGTCGGCTGAGGTTGGGGTTACCCTAAGATCACATGGGGTTTCACCCGGGGTTCAACCTAACCCGCCACAACACAACCCAGACGCAGTCCCCCCAGCTACAGCAACGCCGGTTCCGAATTTGTAACTCGGCAATGCTCCGGTTCCCGACCTCGGCCTGGAGGCTTCAATACTTGCGGCGTCCGCTGTAGGTACGCAACTGCGCGGTGGAGGCCACATGGGGGGGGATTAAGGTCCCATTGATTTAAGAATCTGAAAAGGCAGCGAAGGAAGTGCCGTAAATGCACTCGCAGTCGCGTTCGAAGGAGGGGCGGACGGAAGCGAGAAGAGTACTGTTGCAGTGAAGGCGAAGGTGGGGCGGAAGGGTCGTCGTGCGTTTTGTGTTTTGTTGCAACTACACGAGGGTCTAGGGGGGGTGTTGGGAGGTGGTGCCACATATAAAGGCGGCACCCCTGCTGCGACTCTCCAGTTTACCAAAAGCCCCCAACCCCTCCTTAAATCCCATTCGCCGCATTGAGTTGCCCGCACAAAAGCGATTGATTCAAAGTAAAAACTGGAAGATCACTTGTCTGGGCCTCTTACCATCCTGCTAACCTATTGGCCTGTATAGGTCGTGTTAACGATCACCGCATGTCCTCCTCCTTAAGACCAACCCTCAGAATATTCACCATCTAAGTCTCCTTTTTTCATATAAGTCTCCGTCTCCGCCAATGTTGGTGGTACACCATCGCATGATGGCGATGATGCCGTCCATGTGCGCACGACAAGTATGCAGATCACATGACAGAGCATTTCAGAACCGTCAACGAACGAACTGTTTGCACGAACTGTTTGCACAAAAGATTGCATCGAAGCACATCGATCACCATCACCGTCATTGACTCTTACCAATTATCGCGACAGCGAGGGTTTACCAGATACGTTTACCAGATTGCTCGCTGCACGACGACCTCACTGACAGACAGACACACACACACACACACACACACACACTCCCCCCAAAAACCCAGCGTTTCACCTCTGTACTTCATGCCTAGCAGATTACTATCAGGTAGTATGCCTTTCGGCTTTCGGCCTCAACACCGTTGATGAAATTATGCTTGTCAAACACTCGAAAAAAAAGGTAAAGGTCAGTTAGACCCCTAGATGGGTGCACCAGTAAACATAACATGGCTTCGGTGCATACGTCAAGACGAAAATGGTAGCATATGCGACAGCAGTACGGCGCCGGCGAAAGCCATGGACAACTGCAGTACGCCTTGGACAGCTGGCACGCAAGCGGAGGAGGTATCCGGCGTCGCCGTCGCTGCCGGCGCCGGCGTTGGAGCCGCCGCTGGCGACGGTGTGACAACGGCGGATGGCGCCGGCGACGGGGTGCCGGCTGCTGCTGCTGTCGCTCGGTCCTCTTCGGCCTTCGACGGCGTCGGCTTCGATGGTGCCGTGACGGTGGTGTTGGCAGCTGGGGGGCTGGCAGGTGGGGTGGTGGTGACCACGGTGGAAGGTGTGCTTTGCGTCGCGGTGACGTTTTCCGGCGTGGCCATTGGAGCAGTCGAGGCCGCAGGCGGCGGCGGCGGCGGCGGAGCCGTTGTATTGGCGGCGGCGCCGTTGGCGGCGGTGGGAGCGGTCGCCTGGGTGAGGGAGGAGGAATCCAGAAAACAAACAAACTTACGCGACTCACATAGGGTTCTTCACCCGTGAAGAAGGGGCGCACCTTTACCTACCCGAGGGGTGTGTTGTGCAGTGTATATTGGGCCTAGTAAACCCAATACATTATGAACTGGGCCAGGATGCACGATGTCTCCTTTTATGGACTTAGTTTCCTGCACCGGATCATGCATCATCGCCATTCGACGTCACACATCATCGCCATTCGACAAGTGACACCTCGACCAATGGCTTCCTGATTGCCAAGACAAGGGTTATTCCAGGTCGGGCAAGCTACAACTCCGGGCTCCCCCCTCAAAACGTTTTTGAAGAAGGGCCCCAGTAGGCAACCGTTTTAAACGGGGCCGTACCTCTGTTGTACCATCGGAACCTGCGCCGGGGGCATCAGCCGCCAGCGCCGTGGTGTTAGAAGCGGCAGGAGCGGGTACGGCGGCGGGAGTGGTGGCGGGAGCGGCGGCGGGAGTGGCGGCGGGGGTTGCGGCGGGGGTTGCGGCGGGGGTTGCGGCGGGGGTTGCGGCGGGGGTTGCGGCGGGGGTTGCGGCGGGAGCGGCGGCGGGAGCGGCGGCGGGAGCGGCGGCGGGAGCGGCGGCGGGAGCGGCGGCATCCGTTGCCGCTGGGGTAGCAACGGCCGGGGTCACGGCGGCGGCGGCGGTGCCGGCAGGGTCGCTAGCCGCTCTGGCGATGTCAGCGCGGTTCGTGGCACTTGCTGCGGGGCTAGCAGCCGCTGGGGTTGCGGTGGGCGCGGCGGCGGCGGCGGCGGCGGCCGCGTCTGGCGCTCTCTCGTTCGCCGCTGCGGGAGCAGCGGGAGCGGCCGTGGAGACGTTGGCGGCTGGCGTCGCCGTCGCCGCCGGCTCTGCGGCGCGCTGCTGCTGCTGCTGCTGCTGCATGAGGGCGATGCTTGTGAGGGCGGTCGTCAGGTCGATAGAAGCACCGGCGGCGGAGGGTGTGAGGGCGGCGACGGCGGCACTATCCAGCGGCGTCGATGCGAAGGAGGTGTTCCGGGCCCAGGATTGGATGATATCGGTGGCGGCGTCGGAAAAGTATCGGCGTTGGTCCGCGGGCAACCCCAGGATGGCGGAGGTCACCTCGCCCACAGTTGTTGGCTACGGGGCAGGAGTAATGGATTTGGAGTTCGCGGGGGGAACAAGGAGGGTGGTTATTTATGAAGCATTAGCTAGGCGCACTGCGCAGAAGAGGACTCGAACACCGGACACACAAATTAAAGTTTTTCCTCCACATTTAAATTAATCTTCATCATTACAGATGTTACAGTTTTATAATGATTACAACTTATCATTTACTTATTGATTAACCTTGCCTAAGGACATACGACTAAGAAGCCTGATGATTTGTTTATTATCGGAAATGGTTATCGGAAAGCCCGGTGGCCATGGAGCTGACGCCGAGCACTGTACGGCATGCATTTCCGTCCTTTTCTTTTAGAGAATTCAACGTACCACGCCGTCGATGGTGGCGGTTATTGGCCCGTCGTTGCCTTGCGGGGCGGCAGTGGAGGTGATACGGAAGCTAGGCGCGGCGGCAGTACCGTTGGCAGCGGAGGCGGAGGCGGAGGCGGCGGAACCAGGCTGTGCGGAGCCGCCGTCGTCGGTATAGTACTCCTCGCTGCTATCGGCGGCGGCGGCGGTGTTTTTGCCACCGCCGCCGCCGGTGGTGGCGGCGGCGGCCGGGCCGGCAGATGCGTCGGCGGGTCCGTCACTGGCAACGACGGCCGGCGTGCGTGTGGCGGCAGTGGCGGCGGCCGAAGTAGCGGGTCTACCACCACCAGCAGCAGCAGCAGCAGCAGGTAAAGCAGCGCCGCCATTAGCTCTCTGAGCTCCTCGCGTCAGCGTTTGTACCAAGCAGAACGGCGCCGCGTTCCCTGCCACCCCGCGATTTCCAGGCGAGGATGCAAGTAAATGAATATTAAGCTGCTGGCTAGATTAGGACCGCCGCCGACTGGGGAGCAATAGCAAATATATAAAGCAAGTAGATCGGTAAAAGTGAGGATCCTCGGTCTGTATCAAAATTAAACCCGACCTTAACGTCAATAATCGGGCTCTGCGTCAGTGTCACATCAGTGTCAAAGCGCGCTGTAAGAAATGATATAAGATTTATTTTTGTGTTACCCAAACAAGACATACAACAGGTACGCTCTGGCCTGCTACTGAAACCCTTCCCATTGCTGCTAAGTCCAGTTCCCAAAAACCTTCCCAACCGCCAACTACCCAACTTCCAACTGCTCACCGGAGTAGTTGCAGCGTGTAAGGCCCTCCAAGTTGATGAGACGGACACCAGCTGCCAACATAGGCAACATGAACTCCTGGAGGAGCCGGAGAGAAAGGGAGCAAGTAGGGGATATAGGGGGGAGGGGTAATAGGGAGGGAGCGGGGTAGTAGGGAGGGAGCGGGGTTAGGAGGGAGCGGGGTTAGGAGGGAGCGGGGTTAGGAGGGAGCGGGGTTAGGAGGGAGCGGGGTTAGGAGGGAGCGGGGTTAGGAGGGAGCGGGGTTAGGAGGGAGCGGGGTTAGGAGGGAGCGGGGTTAGGAGGGAGCGGGGTTAGGAGGGAGCGGGGTTAGGAGGGACGGGGAGAGGTAGGTACCAAACGAAATATAACAAAAGGACCTCAACCCGTTCAACCAGAACGTGTAAGCCGCGACCCACAACCATTCCCCATTTTCCCCTCTCCCCCCCCAAAAACAAACTAATGGTCGGCTAGGACGGCCGCCGGCCTGGCTCCATAGCCGTCGCATGATGGTCACCATCTCTACCTCACCTTTCCAAACTGCTAACGGCATAACCGCTTCACCGACCGATTACATTATGTCACTCGCGATCGTATAGTTAACTCGTATAATGAAACGCGTATGAAAATGAAGCACATAGTCTCAAACTGTTTTTAACCATCAGTCATTATTCAGCATGCAAGTAAACATCAAAGCTGCGCAACGCGATGCGAAAAAAAGTACAGTAAAAAAAGTGAATTAAAAGAAGCAGTTCGGCCTCACTCCAAGCGTGCACGAGGTGATGATGTCTGAGGCTCTCTGTACAGGGAAGTTGTCCGCGGTGGTGTTGGGCCCCAAACCGTTGAACAGCTCCCCGCTGATGAACGCCGGCATGTAGGCCTCCGTGAGGGCGCAGATGCAGTCACTGCAGAAGGTACGGCTGGTCAGCTCTGGAGGGACAGTACGACAGCAGTACGACATCACGGGCGTGTTGCGACCGCTTGTAGTTACAACAAACAGGAGTTCACAGAAGTTTTGGGTTTTTCATGGGTTTTAGGGTTTTACAAATGGCTTGGTTACAGGCAACCATATCGCGTGTTTGTTTTTGCGCGAGGACGGATATTTTTCTAGGACAGGACAGGGCACAGGATGGCAACCCAGAGGGATGCCATGAGCATGAGGCATTAGAGGTGAGGAAGTGGGAGAGATGTTATATAAGAGGAATAAAACATGCAGTTTTTTGAGGGGCCTGTGTATCTGTACTCTAAATATTGTTCTATAGAACTTAGGGTTTGGGGGTGTCCTCGGTCGGCTAAAGGACAACTTGGGAGGTAGGGAACATGACCAACGAAGGGCCGGCTCACTCACCGCACGCAGAAGCGACGGGCATAAAGTCGATGGTGATGTTGGTTCCTGTCGTACGGATGGGGCAGGAGGAGGCGTTGTTACTGCTTCGAAGAAGGCCACCGCCGGCGGCGCCGCCCAGCAGACCAGAACCGACGAGGCGACCGGCGCCAAGAAGGGGTACGCCGCTGCCGGCGCCGCCGCCGCCGCTGCTACTGGCGGCAGCGGCGGCGGGCTTGGCAGCCGCGGTGGCGGCAGCGGCGGCGGGCTTGGCAGCCGTTGTGCTGTTGCTGTTGCTGCTGCTGCTGCCAACGTTACTGCTGGTCGTCATGGTGGTGCTGGTGCTGGTGCTGGTGCTGTCCCGGCGGCCACTGCTAGCCGTTACGGCTGGGGCGGTGGCGGCGCTGCCGCCGGCGCTGTTGCCGCGGAGGTTACCGGCGCCGCCGCCAAGCATGCCGCCATTCATCAGACTGCCGGCAGCGTTGGCGACGCCGGCCATGGCGTTAGCTGGGATAGCGCCGCCGCCCAAGAAGCCGCCGTTGAGGAGGTTACTGGCGGCGGCGCCGCCGCCGCTGGAGCTTGTAGTACCGCCGAGTAGACCGCCGCCGCTCAACAGGTTGCCGCCCAGAAAGCCGCCGTTGGTGCCGCCGCCAGAGCTGGCGGCGGTGGTGGGCGCAGTACCGGCGCTGTTGCCGTTGCCGCTGCCCGCAAGCAGGCTGCCGCTTCCCAACAGGCTGCCACCGCCAAGCATGTTCCCGGCCCCACTTAGTAGACCTCCACTCGCGAGTGGGCTGGTGCCTAGAAGCCCGCCAGCGGCGCCGCCGCCGGTGCCGCCGTTCAGCAGGTTGCCGCCAGCGGCGCCGCCACCCAGAAGCCCAGATCCGGCGCCGTTACCGCCGGCGCCGCCAAGCAAGCCGCCGCCGCTACCCAGCAAGTTGCCGCCGCTGCTGCCACCCAGGCGGCCACCGCCAGGGATGCTACCCATCATATTAGTTGCGGTACCGGCGGCGCCGTCCAGCAGGCTGCCCATAGCACCGCCGGCACCACCAAGAAGGCCATTGGCAGCGCCCATCAGGCCGCCGCCGGTGTCACTGCCGCCAGGCCGGCGGCCTCCGATGCCGCCGCCGCTGGCGACGCCGCCGCCAGGCCAGCTGCCTCCGGCGACGCCGCCGCCGCTGGTGACGCCGCCGCCAGGCCGGCCGCCGCCGGCGCCGCTGAGCAAGTTAGCTCCTGCAATGCCACCCAGCATATTGCCGCCGCCGCCAGCGCCGCCGCCGCCGCCAAGCAGGCCGGCACCGCTGCTGCCGCCGCTCCCTAAAAGGCCGGTGCCAGTACCCATTAAGCCGCCGCCAGCGCCACCGCCCAGAAGACTGCCGGCTCCAGGGAGAGCACCCAGCAAATTGCCGCCGCCAGCGCCGCCAAGCAAGCCGCCACCGGTGCCGCCAGTACCAAGAAGACCTCCACCGCCGCCGCCGCTGCTGCCGCCGCCGCCCAACAAACCACCGCCAGGGACGCTGCCCAGAAGACCGCCGCCGCCAAGCAAGCCGCCACCGGTGCCGCCAGTACCAAGAAGACCTCCACCACCACCGCCGCCGCCGCCGCCCAGTAAACCGCCGCCGGGGACGCTACCGAGAAGACCGCCGCCGCCAAGCAAGCCGCCACCGGTGCCGCCAGTACCAAGAAGACCTCCACCGCCGCCGCCGCTGCTGCCGCCGCCGCCCAACAAACCACCGCCGGGGACGCTGCCCAGAAGACCGCCGCCGCCAAGCAAGCCACCACCGCTGGTGCTGATGGCGGCGCGGTTGTTGCCGCCGCCGGCAGAGGACCCCTGTCCAGTGCCGTACCGAGATTCTAAACGGTCCGCGAGCTGAGCTTCTGCCGTACGAAGGTACATGACGGCCAGCGTGAAGGCGACGACTAGGCCAAATTTGGAGATTACAGAAGTACCACAAGCCATGGTGACGTGCCGCTACTGCTACTGCTGCTACAATTACTTCGCGCCAGAAAAAAAATAGATGCCCCAGAAGGCGAAACGAGGATGCCTCTGATTTTTGTTAGAGCAGCCCGCGCGGGCAGGAACCTATGGATGAAAAGGTGGTTGGAATTTTATCGGCTGCAGTGACCGCTGGTGTTCAGGGGGTTGATCGCTTTCGTAGTAGGCTTGATCACTGGGGTTTGGGGGAAGGGGGCTTGGATGAGATTGCCGTTGATCGTAAGCACTGTAGATTGAACGTAACTACAGTATTTATACTGTGGAGCCTTTGGAGCCCTTTTGAGACAGATCGGAGGTAACCTTGTGCCTGACTTAGGGATCTGACTTGCGTGTGGGCACGCTCGCGCGGCGGGTTTTCGGTTGGTGCGGCCGTGACAGGCCCGCCCGCAATTCGAAGGAATGTCACGCTGGTTCCGAAGCCAGTCCGATGATGTGATCGATCGAGCCGAACGAGCCGAGAAGATTTTGACAATTTGACGCTTGTCATGTGTGCATCAGGTTCGTTGGGAGTTAAAAGGCTCAAGTGTACTTGGGCTTCGAATTGGTGAAGTGTGCGTAGAGGCTCTTGGAGGAAGACGATGAAGTTTTGCGCATACGTATGCCAGGAGTAAATAGTGATGAACATGCAATTGCAGGATAAATGGTGAAAGGTTAACAATTTGCACAGGACACGCTCCCGTGTGTAGGAAGTGTTATGCAAGTGGTGCATTGGGGCGTTGCGTCTTTGCCACGCGCCCATTATGAAGAGCATGTCCACATACTGTGATTGGATATCAAGGAAAAAAGCGATAAGCGTTCGCTCGGATTTCGACAGCATATCTTATGCATCTAACTGTCGGGATTACGACTGCGACGTCTCAGCTTCTCAGCTTTAGAGCGAGGAATACAACCCATCGACTATTTACGCGGCAGTGTACAGTTTCTTTAGCATAATTGTATATAGGAGATAGCCCCACAACCTCTCAGGTTTGATATTTATGTGCAGCAGCAGCTATCTTACCTAGAACACGCCATCGGCAAGCATACCCACATAGAATCCACCAGATGTTTTGATTTGCGCCACTTTTCACATAATTAACTTGAGACATCAGCGTGGCTCTGCTGGGTCCGGCCCATGGCAATGTTTCGGCGCTCCCAGCCAGTTTGGGTGCTGCTGGGGGTGACCAGACACCATGGGTTACCGGGGAAGGTTGATGTTATTGACTTGAAGTTTACTCAGCCATGGCTTTTGGTGGAGCTTCTCTCGACTGCCGCCGACACCTCGCGGACTCGCAGGGAGCAATCGGTTGCATTCCCCCAGCACATTGACCATCTTCGACTCTTGCACCCGATAGTGCGTTCAGCAATTGCGGCAAAAAGTCAGGGCTTCCACACGAACAGGTCTCTTCTGTGGCCTTTCGAACCTTCTCCTCCTTGTCTGTTTCCGGACAGCAAGCAAGGGAAGGATGCTAAGAGCGTTGCAGCTCCACTTCCCAAGGCAAGGGTTAATTTGCTTTCCTTTTGGGAAAGTCTTGGTGTGTTGACCGATCCTGGCGGAGTTCACCGACCGCGCACGCGCATTCCCGACAGGCCGAAGACTGTGATACAGCCATTCAGGAATACGATGACTTAAACTACCGGCTCAACCAGCTTGAGCGGCCCGCGTCACTGCGTGGCATCGGTGCCCAGTTGAAGGATGTGGTGGTGGCCACCGGCAACGGGGTGGTCGCCATTGTGCGCTGGACGGGTTCCATTCCGTCGCGGATCCAGCGCTTCCGCAGTATGAGCAAGGAAGAATGGCAGGCCAAAAAGTCGCAGATGTGGAAGAATTTCAAGCATGAAGCGCACCACTACTGGGTGGGTCCTCTTCGGAGACGCAACGTCGCCTGAAAACAATGCTACTGTACGGCAGTGTGACAGGGTTGAAGTTTGGAGAGCTCCCTGGATCCGTGTGTGTACCCTGCCTGATAAGGAACTTCGTCCTTTCGAAGCGTTGCCGTACACAACCCTGGTCCCCTGCCGTACTGCCAGATGCATATGTATTAAGCAGGGATTTCTATTGCCCTTTGACGGCTGTTTGGCTCAAAATCCGCATGAAGGTCTTCCTTCGTGTGGAAGTCCTCCTACTGCCCGGTTGCCCCCGGATCAATTGTTTGTTTACTTGTTTGTTTACAACGCTTACTAACCGCTTGCTAAACCTAGTACGGATAAGCGATTCCCTACTCCACAATAATCCGTACCGTACTGCATTTTTTTCGTACACTGTACGAACGTGCAGGTTGGGTTCAAACTCTTGGCGTACGAGGTACGGCTGGCGTCAGGCTACGCTTTGAAAGCAGCGAGCGGAGAGACGCTGACCAGGTGAGTGCGTGTGTGTACGGGGGGGAAGGGGGTTTAGCAAAGAGGGTTCAGGGGATAATCGTACATAATACACACGATTAAAAGAAACTGCCAAAGCCGAAAGCCCGAGGGGGATATGTGGTTACGTGTTTTGGGGAATGTATATGTGTATGTGTACGGACGTGGGCACAATTGTATTGTATTGTTAGATTATTTAGATTTAGAAAAATGGAAAAAATTACGACAAGGTACGGTAATGGAGAACCCGGTGGTTGAGGTTTGAGGGAGTGTGAGCAGATGTGGGGCTTGGAGGCAGAGCGGGCGGCTGGGCGGGTGACTGCCTTTCCTTGGACGTGCGGTTTAGGTCGTTGGGTTGGCCAACGGCGAAGGCCCTGGTGGTTGGCGGTTAGGACGGGTAGAGGCAGGGAGGGAGGACGAGCCGGGGAATTGGAACCGGGCTGAGGACTGCTGTTCAAAAGCTAGACACTGCGCGAACGCACGGCCCCGCACACGGCCCGCTCCCCTAAAACCCTAAAACGCTAAAACCAGCACGCTGCATATGATTCCCTCACCCCAACCCGGCTCTTCCCCCTTCCCCCCCTCTCTCTGCCCCTTCCCCCCTCTTTCCCCCGGCCCCACTAAAACCCGACTCAGACGTGAGCGGCGGCAGCTCACCCGCACCACCGCCGACCTGTTCCGACTGGTGCCCTTGATCATTATTGTGGTGGGTGAGCGGGGTGGGGGTGGGA